TAGTGATTTGCAACGGTCCGAAATGGCAGTTTTTTAAAATGGTGTCCTTCTGCGTATTTTTTTTCAAAAAAATAATTCCCATTTAGGATTGTTAAGGCTACGGCGAGCATTATCAAATGAGAGATGATGTTAAATTCCATAATGTTACCCACCAGAACGGGACATTTGAAGATCATTTTAAACAGAACTGCGTCTAATTGAAGCTTGAAGGCAAAATATAAGTGACCAGTTCTTGAAAATTAGCAAATAATTGTTTCTCGCAGCCGACGAGAAAATTCACAGCCAGGAAAACCTACCGGCATTGCTTTCTTTTCCACTTCCAAGGACTCAAAAAATAGATTATTAACGTTCAGCACGTTCATCTTAGCCAGTAGGCTACGGAAACGCTTAATGGGAGTACGAATTGACGAATCCAGAAGATCGGAAGACGATGATCAGATGACGGCTGATGCGTTTTTACAGTCGTCCTCAGAGGAGGGCGGAGCAGCTGACGTTCGAATTTCGTTTTCGACTATGCTCAGTTCAAAGGCATGGGAAGCCGAGTGAACAGAGGAGAAAATTTGAATTTTCTCGACTGAAGAAACGGAACGCAAGAAGTTTTTGCAGTTTCTCGTCTTCACATACAAACAAGCAATATATAACTCAGAAATTCGCCATCTTCCTTATGGCTCTCTGCGGCATCAGTGTCTATTCAAACTGGCTTTTGGAAAGCTGGATAACGAAATCAAATTACTGTCCTTTTAATGAGTATATCTATTGTGTGATCTTTTCAAACCATTGACAAGAATTTTGATACAATTGCAGTTTTTGAAAATTTCAAGGGTTTTGGTCAATAGCTAAGTTATTTGTTGGCAATGATAGCGTTTTCCATTGCTACAAAAAAGATAAAATTTACAACAATGAATAATTTGTGTTCATTTGCTTTCATACTTGGATTGCACTCATTACAACAAAAATTTTATTTTCAAATGGGTCAAAACGCATTGGCACAGTATAACATAACTAGTTAGACTACAGTGCATGAAAAGTTTAGTGTCTTCTACTACACAGGTAATCTTTTAAGTTTTCATAGTGATATCTTGCCTTCGGTGCACCATTCTCACTATCCTGCGATTCGTGACACTTTCATAGATAAAAGCTGACCAACTAATCGAATTTTTCTCTTGCTTAAAAATTGTGATTCCAAACATACAGTCTACCACAAACTGAAAGAGCGCTTCTCTGCATCCATTCAAATCACATTTTTGAGCAGCGTCACTCAGAAATTATTTACGATAACTCTCTGAGTATAGCTTAGCATTTGATTCTTCACTAACAAAGTTGCAATCACAAAAATGATTCGTTGCATGGAAAATCAGCAAAAACCATTTGTCAGATTGTCCTTATTGCTAGAAAAAAAAGCTCTATTGGTCACACCTCAAGGATCACCATGTAAAAAATGGTGAGCGTATGGGAACCCTAACACTTGTGATTTTTTAGAATTTATAGCTTCACTAAGTGGGTCTCCCATAGTTGTTTAATGATGGAAATTATTGATCAATGCAAATATGTAAGATAAATTTACAATCAATCGTCATCTAGAATAAGATTTTGCTCAGCGTAAATTTGAAAATAAGGGAAAAAATAGTTAGTTAAAATGACCATTTGTAAAACTATGATTACGCGTAGACGCAGTATAAC